CTGTTCTGGGCGTGCTCGGGCTATTTCGGATGGGCTCGGGAGCTCCTTGGAACACTTTGAATCGATGGAAAAGACACAATGGGCGAAAGGAATGATATAATAATGCCGTAGATACAGGTGCAGGTGAGATACAGAATGTGGACAGAGTTCTGGATACCGCCCTGCATGCCAACGCAACAACCTCCAGCGAGCACACTGCACAAAAGATATGGCTGTCTGAGATATGCGTAGTCAGCAAAGAAAACACATTCGTAAGGAAGGAGAGACTCACTAAGATTGACGCATTGCCCTACCCCTTTCCCTGGCCTCCACCAGTCGGACACAGACGCGCTTGAATAGTCATCACTTGAGCTCCGCTTGCGTGAGGACAGAGAGTCTTGGTATAAAGAACACTTGAAGGAGTCATCAGGCTGGACGGACTTGAAAGCTTGCAGGCCAAGCGGGGCACCCAGTTTGCAGATGGACCTCGTTGCGTGTTCTTGACTGCGTTGACGAAGGTTTGCGGCACAGATATGAGATGAGATTTTGAAGGTTGTTCTCTTGCCGCTGTTCGTGGTCTATTCCTTGCTGTTGTTCTTGAATGGTCGATGTTCTGCTTGCCTCTTGAGACTTTGACCCGACAGCATATCGGACGTCAAGAGTTGCGCTGTCCGACGATTCGAACATTCCACTGGAGAACCAGCCTTGTGTGCAAGAAGCAGTTGCGGCGATGAGAGATGGGCACCAAGCATTTATTTGCCGATGGTCATGGCGGAAGAAAGAGAATATGTCACATTGTCACATTGTGTCACACTCAGATCATTCATGCGCGACGACAATTCTGAGCATTCGAGAAAGAGCCACAAATACAAAAGTGTTATCTAGCTCATTCTCAATCCCATGGCGGCCCAGAAGACTTGATTTGATGCAGCCTGAGAGGGTCCAGTAGTAGGCTGGAGAGTGGCATCCGATCCTTCTCCATCCGGTGACGCATCCGCTGGTGCGCGCAACTGCTCAGTGACGGGTGATCCAGCCACGACACCTCTGAACTTGGCCTTATCATCAACGATGATTTGGTCGATGTATCTGAAATATGAATCAGTCTCGCGCATTGTCTGAGAAACTGTATACCGTTTCCATCCAGCCGAGGTCAGATTGGTGCCGCGTTTGACGATTTCCTTCTTGAACCACTCTTCAACGCTCCCCCAGAAGTCTTCTCCCTTTGCTGTCCGACCCACACGCACTTTTTTCGCAGGACGTTCGGCGTGGTTCTCATTAGTGTCTTCGTTCTCGACAGTCTCAATGGGGGCCGAGAGCAACGCGGGATGGTCATAGATGAATCGTCGCTGGAGGAGGGGAATCAGTTCTCGGAATATAGGAAGAAAGGACGATACGCTCACCAAAAGTGCAAATTGCACGGTATAGGGATCAGAGGTAAGGGCCGTCAGCGTCATATTCCCATATTTCCGCGTGCACTTCTTCACAAACTCGGGCAGCTCAACAAAGCTATTTCCTTTGATGCTCGCAACAAGCTAAGGGATGATCAATATAAGAATGTATTCCACTCAAGGAGACTAGCTTCTTACCTCGATGCGGAAGCTGTTCCTAATGCCAGAACAGACTCGGCGGCATTCCTTATTGACGACCTTGATTCGACTCGGCACGAGATAGATGTTCTTGAGGCCATGAGCTTCCGAGTCTTTGTGCTTCTCCATCTCCTCCTGTGACAGATGAACGTTGACAGTGAACATACTGACCCACACCTACCATAACATCTTGATGCAATGAGGTGAACGTCGTGCGTTGTGGGTCAATGATAAAACTGTTTGCCAAACAACGAATGTAATCCTGCAGTGAATGAGCATAAGAATGGGGACCAAATGATACTCGCACCTTCTGTGGATCCGTCAGGCAGAAGGTGTTTGCCAAACAAATCTTCAGATCGACAAAGATACTGTTGAGGTCTGTTCTCTCCTGCTCGTCCTTCTCCCGGAGACGACGACGCTCGCATTCTATCCGCATGGTCCACGCAAGCATGTAGATGCGAGTAGCAAGGTCGGGGAGGGACAGTCCCATGCCCAGAGACCCAAGCTGACAGATACCGTAAGCGAAATCTTGCACTCGCAAGATTAGACACGCACAGTTATAAAGAATTTGAGATCCTTGATCTCTCGTGGCCCCAGTCGCTGATCATTGGCAATCCTGTCAAGAAGGACTGTTCCCACAACGTCAATGTCCAATATGGGCATGGTGGTGGGCAAGCTGGAACGACTCATAGGTGCGATCGGAGTCATGGGTTGATGGGGCAGTGGAAACTGGAGGCCATGGTGCAATGGAGAAGATGGTGTCGGCGTCATCAGGTTGGACATGAACTGAGATGGGTTTGGAGTCGACATCCCCGGCAGCGCATAGTTTGAGCCTGAGGGCAACGGTGGAAAAGAGACAGGGCTGTTGAGGCCAGCAGGATGATCCATAGCGAGGCTGGCGCGGGATGGCTGGTGGAAGGCAACGCCAAGCAGACCAGCAGTTTCATAGCCCCTCGACGTGTTCCTCACGTGCGTGGGACGTGTTTATAAACAAACACCTCCTAAACGCGTCCTCGCGCTGTGAAACGTGTTGTGTGACGGCGGCAGAATTATAAAAGCGGTGGACATGAGCGCTGAAGAGTGCATCCACCCGCCATCATGCCGAAAGCTGAAGGAAACAAGGACAAACATTCCCTCTCATCCCATCCTCGACCTTCATCTCAGCAATGCACCAGGAAATCGGCTAAGTGCGCGCTACCTCTCCTTTGTCTAGAACTTCAAATGAGTACTCTCCAGCTTGTACAATGAGACTGCTGATCCGGGAACGGGTGCGGGCGCATTGAACTCTCAGATCACTGAGAGCCAGTACTTTGCGGGATACTCTTGCGATGGCCAGTACAATGCCTCTAAACCAGCGTTTCTCTCAAGAATCTGACTACTTCTCATAGATTCTATACAGTCATCTCGTGGCGGGGCAAGCCAATCTCTGAGCTCAACGCTGCCTGTTTTCGCTTCCAGTCAAGACCGCATCACATTGGAGAAGGAGAACATCAAGCTAGAAGACAGGGAAATGGTATCCAGTACTAAGGTTAAAGGTGTGTATGTGTATTCATCTTGCTCTTCGAGGCTCTGACTCCTTGTTGAAGTCGAGACTCTTGACACCACAACTCCAACCCAATCTGGGCCCTCGGTCTTCATAGAACTCTCCCCATCTGAGGTCGTCACCATCGAACGCCTACGACAGTATCGAACGCACGCCAGCACATTACGGTCAACTCTGGAGAACATGCAGGCCACGATTGACCGACTTAGAACTGTGCGCAACAAACACCGTGCCGAGACCGAGAGATTGCAGGCGTGTTTACAAGATATCAATACTCTGTCTTCGTCAAGTCTAGAATAATGCACAGTTTTCCCCGTCTGAATCTATGTCGGAGCTTGAGGCGACTCGTGAAGGGAACTGCGTCGGCGTGGGAGGCGAATTGTCAATCATGATGGCGATGGTACGAGTGCTGCTGATGGGAGAGCGGAGACTCGAACCTGGGTAGGGGGGACTGAGGCTGGGGGTGTCAAGTTTTGAGTCGCTCTGCTAACTGAGACTGTGTTTGATTTAGCCTGGGAGGGTTTGCGCAGAGCAATCTCTTTCGCTACGCTCTCATGCACAACTCGATTAAGATCTGGGCATGGGGGTGCATTGATGCGGAATTGTTGGAGATAGAGTGCATCTCGCATCTGGGCCGTGTTGAGCACGAGATCGTAGCGGTCTCCTTGATGATTAACACGGGCTTGGGTATGTGTCGTCTTTGTGCGCTCTTGGTAAACTGGGACGTGAGCTGATGTATTGCAGTTGTGATCTGCACAGTTATGTTGCACATTGACAGTGCATAGGATATTCTGTCAACGTGTGAGGAGAGCACCGGAATACTGATCCAGAACACGATACCTCGAGTGATCCAAGAACCCAGTGGTTGGACAGTTTCAAGCCTGGCATCCCATATCTCTCTGAGTTTGGATCGACAATCACCTCCCGCATCAAGATCGCATCTGGAAGGTCTGCATGATGATTCGGAGACCCAATCCGTTGCAACAGCTCTTCGAGGCGATAGATCTTGGTCTCGCTATCCTTGTTGACCATGACATGACCTCCGACCTGGCACTGGTCGCCGTTGCGGAGTTCTAGCTTGCTGCGAGCTCGATAATAGGGGAAGTCAAAGCTTTGATTCGGAAGGTGATCTAGAAAGCGATTCAGAGGTGATTCGGAAGGTGATTCAAGTGCCATCAAATCACCGAATCACCTCGAATCGCCGAATCACCTCTGGAGGTGATTCATGGATGAATCGAAAATCAGAATCACTTTGGAACCTAACCCTAGCTATGGGACTTTCATCACGTGTAGAACTATTCCGAGTGACTTCAGACTTCTCTTGCTACTGCTACCGACTAGACCGCTGCAATGGCACAACAGGCCCACGGACACTCCCGGTTATGTCAGTCCGCCGAGCCAGGCTGATTTGCACTACAAAATTGGCCTCTAGAACCCTTGATTTGCACTAAATCGGACTGAGATATGCCATCATTTTAGCCCTTTTCGGAGTTTTTTGCCCATTTTTTGCCCACGATGGCCCTGATTTTGAAGCACTCTTGACATGCGTCAAAAGCTCTCTGTTTCATCCAGGAATAGGTCAAAATTTGCTGATCTGACTCTCTCACCGTCGATCGATGATATATGGTCCAAAAATTTTGTGGGCTTCGCCCGCGATTTGCACTAACTGGGACTGGGATTTGGGCTCTTGGGCCCGATCTGCACTAACTCTGGCCCTGAGATAAAGCCAATTTTGGGGCTTGATTTGCACTAAATTGGACTGACATATGCGGGAGTGTCCGTGGGCCTGGCACAACGCGGCTCTAAGAAGAAGGCCGAAGCTGCTGAGGGCGCTGAGGACACACCGGCACCCAAAAAGAAGCCCGGCCCCAAACCGAAACCGAAAGTGAAGCCGGAGACAACGATCTAGTAGATAAAGACAGGAAGTATATATGCGCAAAAAGTGGGGTGGTCAATTCGAAGGTGATTCTGCAGTGATTCTGCAGTGATTCACGCCGAATCAGCGAACCGAATCACACTTGAATCACACTTGAATCACACCTGAATCACCGTTCGAATCACTTCCGCGTAAAGAGCTTTGACTTCCCCTAATGGCTCGGTTGTCCAGACCATGATGGAATGTGTCTTCTGGTTAGTGTATCTTTCAATTTTCCGTTCCCGACTTGGCCACTGACCGCTACACAGACCATCAATTGCTGCATCACTAAATGAGTGCTATCTTCTCACCTCCGATACCTCTCCCAAGCTTTGGTTTCTGCAATCCAAGATATGATGCCACTGTGCCGCCATTGACAACTCCAAGTACTCCGTCTCCTGCTCGTGTCCAGTGGGCTTTTCGCCAAGATTGCGGCCTTGACAGCTCCGGTTCGAAGTCCGATCGGATGCAAGCCCCACTGAGAAGATGCCGAATACGGTTTCCCTGACCAAACGCGGCTGCAATATCACGCGACGGTGCGTGTCGATTTGAGTGAACACTTTTGGCCCGGATGATTGCATTGAAAGATTCAAAAGCCTCTGTCGCAAAGAGTATGGCGGGTCCAAAGCGGCGGATGTGCACGGGCAGATGTAAGAGAATGTGAAACTTGGGCTTGTTGAACCAACGGTTTGTCCATCGAGCAGCACAGGTCAGGAAATGGTCGATTTCACATGTAAGTAGTGTCTGGGATAGTCTCAGCGATGTAGCGACAAGGAAAGATCATGTTTCATACCGTGTATACATCGATATCCAAAATTTCTGGCTGCCAGATGAGAGGTACGAGCTTGGACATTGCCTTCCATGTCTCAAAGCACTCGGGATCTACCAGGTCAAATATGACAAAGGGGGAGACCTGGGCTATCACACGGAAGTCTCGACCAGTCAAGGAGCCTGCATACTGGACAAGAGTTTGTCCAGCAAGCGGGGAGATGCCGAGACCGCTGATATCCACGGAATTCAAGCGTGTGATCAACAAGTTCTTCTTATCGTCCTTATTCTTGAGTTGATTTTGGATGAGATCGCGCCAGAGATATTTCACGAAGCCCAGCAGAACAACATGAAGAATCTCCACAGGTGTGTCTTGATGCGGATCCAAGCCCCTGATCCTCCATACAGGGCTCATCGCATTGATCCCCGAGGGCATGTTACGGGCTTCGGCCTGTAAGGCGGCTTGCCGTGCCTCATATCCTCGTACATTCTTGTAGGAGTCAAAGAGTTTCTCAACAAAGAACTGTTGGAATGTGTCCTTGATCCCTGTCTCAGTACGCTGCTCCTTGATACGAGTCTTCTTGTCGACGGTGGTAGAGGCCGCAAGAAATTCTGAATTGAGATGTTTGACGGTTTCGCTTTTATTGCGCAGACGTCCAAGCTAACGGGATTATCATCAGCAATGCTCGAGAGACGCAAGGAAGGACACAGGCTTTATCTTATCGCACCGCCATTGCAGAGATAAGATAATCACCGTCATGAATTCCTGGATGTGATTGACCATCTGGCCCATCGTTTCCAGAGCTCTTTTCCCCTGTTTTCCCTTCTTTTGACTAACATTACTTGCGTTGCTTGTGGCACTGTCATCGCTCTGGCCCCCAACACTTCTGGCATCATCGTCAGTCCCATGGCTGGCGTTCACGGCATCAGCCGCTTTGGCAAGATTGGGCTCGGCAGGCTCAGATGTATGTCCTCGAGCCCAACAGGCTCGGCAGAAGAACTTGCCTCGCAAGCCTATGTGACACGCAAACTCACTCTGCATTGGATTATCTCCGAGCAGAGCTAAGACTTCTGGAATGACGAGCACTGCTTCCTCAAGCTCGATGTCCCATGCCCATACACCATGTTCTTGTGCATTTCTGCTCACTGTCAACTCGAAAATTCTAAGACTTGGATATCGAACTCACTTGAGCTGTTCGACAACGCCATCCATCATCTCGAGAGGCGGTGCAATGTTGGATGTACACAGAAAGTGAATATTATATTCCTTTTGGCTGTTGTGACGATTCAGCCCAGCCGGAGTCATCAGAAAGCTGTTGTGCTTATTCCATTTCTTGGATACGTTTCCGGATGTGTCGTCACAATAGAGCCACATCGGGAAAGATACAACACGGCATCCATCAGCTTTAGCGCGCCATGGATTTCCCAGAACGGAATTCGTGAATGTCCAGGGAACACTTTTATCAGCAGCGTTCAAATCAATAACATCTTGATGGGGAAGACGGTGAGCAAGAGCAGCATTAACAACCAGCGTGCTCACCAATGATGCGAGAGGGATGTGGGACGTGATAGCGTTGTGCATCCGTTTGGAATTGCACGAATGTCTTGAAGAATGAGTTCGTATTGACCTCGATTGGGGTTGTCTTATCGACTCTCCAGCCGGAGATCTGATCAGTGACCACCGGGTGCATTTTCCAGCATTTCGCAAACATACATCCATTGCGAGTGAAGAACCGGACAGGGATGATGTACTGCTGGAGCCCGTCTATAGCAGATGATGCCATGCACGGCTCGTAGATGTAGTAATCATGATCCTGCTGTCGAATCATAGGTGTCGTCTGGTCATCTGGAAGCTCGTGCAGCCACCGGTCTCCCTGCCGTGCCTCCGACAGTCTTTGCCCAGCGTCCTCTGGATAGAAGGACAGGTGAGAGCGGACCTTGGGATTCGCCATTTCCTATTGTCGAATGAGCACTAAGGATTGGGGACACGAGGATAAGTACCTGAGCAATAATTTGTGCGAGATTGTTTACGAAATACTTGTGTCCAAGAGCACCGTTGTAAGCAATGGTCTCGATCCCACAGAGTTTCTGGAGAGCGAGATCAAGGCGCTGCATCTGCTTGATTGATGGAACATCGGGGACATTGTTGACTCTAAGAAGCCAGAGAAATAAATCAAGTTGTCTCTGCGAGAATACCGAACGTGGAAGATGCATGAGAACATCAAGTGTACACATCTGCCCGACAATGAGTACGAACGCGAATGAATAAAGGGCACTCACAATTTGGTTGTCCCACGGATACCAATGCAACCTCTCAGCCTCAGAGCCGGGTTCGAGATCCCCGCAAGATTGTTTGGGTGTGGGAATGCGAGCATCTGAAGGAACGGTGAATGACACTCGATGGTCCCGGTCCGCACAGGATTACCTCGACATCCTGAACTGGGTGGGGTGTCTTCATCGGCCACCGGAGAGTTAGACTCAACATCTGACCGCTCATTCTCGTCGTCGTCAGAGAGTGTGTTAACATCCAATTCCAAGCGTTGCAGGATCGCATTCGCGATTGACGCGACAGCTCTTTCATCAGCAGATGGGACGAACTCTGTATCCCCGTTGGCCTCCATGAGGTGCCAATTGATACCAATGCTCGGTGTCGTTGAGCGAGTAGACTCCGCGTTCCACGCGGGTCCTGGCAGAGAGTCGTTCCCATCGGGTTCTGAGATGGGGTCGGGAGGCACACTGCCGCCTCTAGTGGCCAAGGACACCAGTAGATTCTGAAGGCCACTGTCGATAATGTCGCGATCGGTGATAGGTCGATTGACTCTGGGATCCCGGCTCGTTGCTCGTGCCAGAAAGTCTGTTTCCCGCTGTGCACGAGCCTGCTGCCGCTGGAGCGCTTGTTGGTGGGTCTGGGTTTTCTCGTGGCGCGAGAGTTCACTGTTGATACCGTTGCGGTCGATTCCATCCTGGCAGATGTTGCAGGAGGCGACGAGTTTCTCTCCCGCAGAGCGAAAGTTCCAAATAGGGGCTTCATGACATTAATCCTGACATCCGTGATGATTGCCGGACCGCACTCACAGTCTCTCGTGCCGCCGCTCATCAGGATGGTCGAGACTCAATGTGGGAAAGCAAGTAAAACTCAAAAAGGGGCAGCAATGAGTTATATTGATTTACAAAAAGGAGTGTGGCTCAGTTCCGGTTGTTTGAACGAAAGCTATTTCAAATTTAAGTGTGGTACATAGTTCGGATCACCACCGTGCTCATTCCCATCACTTTGGTTTAGCCGTATCCGAGCGTCTGGCCGTGTACGTGATCCCGCAAAGATTTGTCCCGCCTACCGTCCTACCTAATTGCGAATGATCACTGCAATAATCGATCTCTTGAAACCAAGATCGCGAATTTTATAGCTGTGTTACTCTCTTGACTCAAAACGCCATTCGTGCCCGCGATGCATCGCTCGTTACGGGTGGGGCTGGGAAGTCTGCGTGGGCGCAGCTGCCACCCACGTAGGGTGGACGGACCAAGAATACATTCTGCTGGGCGAGCAGAAGCGCGGGAATCTGAACCCTGCGACCAAATTGAGCCCATGACAGCAACCTTGACAGTACGTGGCGAGACATTTCCTTGTTCCCAATCGCGCAGGTGAGGAATGACTGCCTCTGCAGTCGACGATCGCTGACAATTTGCCTCTCTTGCAGCGCTCCACGGTGTGCCTTGCGAGACGTGACGCGTCGCTTTCTCTGTGTGATACAAGCGTCGCCACTTGAAGCCCATGGGAGCAGTCTAAGGGTACAATGACAGGAACTCGCGGGTCACCGAGTGTCCGAGACTCGCTGAAGGACATAAATTTCGACCCAGCCAGGGTCCAGCTCTGATCTATCTTATAATTTGACCGCCATGTTCTCTGCGCTCGCGTCCATGCCCTCCACCGACTCGGTGGCCCTTCCAAGGGCATTCCCTCTCTTCTTCTGCGTGAAGAAGTCTTCCCCTTTGCGGAAAACGCCCATTTCATGTGTGAACTCGGACAGATACTCGTACTCGATGCCATCCGACGCCCATGGCCCATGCTCGAGCCCAGTTGGCCTCCACTGTGAAGCTGCGCTGGCTGAGAGTCAAGGTGGGTCTCTTCCTCAGGTCTTTTCTTTCATATCCTTATCTCCCACCAGCTCTTAGTTCTCCTAATGTCCCCTTCGATACATTGGCGGCTGCGTGCCACATCGATTCCCTTGCGCCCCAGAGCAGCGTTGTCACTGGTGTCTGCTTTGGCAAGAAGGATCGTGAGTTTCTTCCACGTTCGCGCCCGGCTGTTTTGGATCCTGATACCCTTCTTCTCGTCCAGTGAAACAACCACCCTCTATTGCGAAATCCCATCGCTTCCAAATCTTCTCTTCTCTTTTCGTCCGTCGCAAGACGCCGCTCGGGAACACTGAACCAGGTCGTTCCCTGCGGTCTCGTCCGAGATTCTCCACTCGCCGGTGAGCATACCTGTCAAAGGACCTGTACCCGTTGCCCCAGCAGCATTCACCAAGCCGAGTCAATGAACCTCGCTTTCGTGTCGAGCGTTACCAAGTCTGACGCTGTGTGCGCAGGGTGGTGAATGACATAGCGATTGGCATGCTTATGATACCCGCAATGAATACTTTCACATATGAAATCTCGAATTCCAACGATAGCAAGCTGGTTGCCCCAATATTACAGTAAGCTCAGCCTAGTAGCTGTGCTCACCCTTCTCGAGTACACAAGGTTCTCAGTGGACGCCAACACATCAGTGAACGCCCTGAAGCCTGCAATTATACAATGGTATTGGTGTCTGTTGAGTACAAAGTACTCTGCGATTACTAGTTCCAAATCAGAGCCAAGGTATAATCTGACCAACGCTCATATTTTCCGCCCGCTTGACGACAGCGCATGCGATTGCGACATCCTGCAATCCGATACCCACAGACTTGAAGATCGTAACAGACTGGCTCGTTTGCGCTGGTCCCCGTTTTCTGACCAGTTGTGGCTCCCCGTTCTCGTCCAGTGGAATCAGCTCCCCAATCTCCACGACCTCGCTTCCCTGAATCCCTGCATCGATGAGTTCGCCGGCTTCTTTCAGGCAAGCTTCACGGGAGTCCACAACGAGATCGTGGGGCAGAGCACGGCGGATGAGGTCGCGGTCGACTTCATGCATTTCGGGCTTGTAGCTTCCGATCAGGATGAGGTGCGTGCCGTCGCGTACAAGACTTGAAGGAAATAGAGGGATCTGCGAAGACGTGGCGCAGATAATCACATCGGCTGCCAAGAGAGTCTCTCTGATGGCGTCAGACGGAGGGTCGGAGGAAGTCTCGTCTGTAGCAGTCATTATCAACGCTAACGCGGATGAACGCAGGCGAGCTCACGTTGCTGAAGATGGATCTCAACATGGCTGAACCGTTGCCGTAATTCGTCGACTAGCGTCCGTGCCCGATCGTTCGTGGCACGGTTAACCACAGTGCAGGTCGTCAGTGTCGAGTAAGCCCGGAGGAAGACATCCAGATGTGCTGATATCTGCGCGCCAGCTCCAAATGCGACAATGTTGCGAGGCTCTTCTGGACCCATGAGCGTACAAGAGAGCAGTGATCCTACGGCGGGTATCAGTGCACAGTTATCGAGCTCAGAGTCACTAGAGGCGGACCTGCGGCGTTCCGAAGAGCGGTCAACCCGGCCGCGTTGACGATCGCCTTCACAGCCCCAGTGCCCTCATCCATCACAAGCGTCGACGCGGGCAGTCCCCGTTTATCCGCCGGAGAACTGGGTACTGAGACGACTTTGATTGAGGTACCGAGAAGACCGACAGGACGCTCTATACGGGCTGGCATAAACAAGATCGTGTGATTTGGTGTAGAGATGCTGCTTCGATGTGGCGCGTACGACGCTGGACTGGCAGGGTCTGAATCTTGGGAGAGGGAGCAAAAGACGCGCGCCATGAGTTTTTGGAGGGCGTCGGGGGTAAATGAGCGCGCTAGAAGCGCGGTGTCTGTTCCGTTGAGACAGAGGAGGGACATCGTCGAAGTTGGGCTAGATCACGCTGCCGGTGGACAGGATGAAGAATGGACGCGGATGATAAGCAGCAGTGCCACCGGATCGTAGGCACATAAAATTCACGATGAAGGATATGCAGACGCCGCGCGCGAGCAATGTAATTGCCGCACATGATAGGACAGCTGATTCATGGCACAGGAGCAGGGAGCGTAGGAATGTTGGCGCACTCAGGAATCAGCAGTAGTCACCGCTTACGCTCGAGTTCGGGGCAGATCTGTCACAAATGTCACACCGCCCTCTTGTTTCGAAACTACCTTCTCCACCGAGCGCGTAACTGGCTTATCACGCTATTCTCGTCCTGGACTCGAATCAATAATCTCGTTAAGGCCGCACGCCGCGTGAGATGGCTACAAAGGAGGATCGGGAGACTCTGAGGCTGCTCGTGCAGCATGTCTCGCGTGCTTTTTACGAACCAAAGTACACGATCATCATGGACCAGCTAGCGCGCAACATGGTGTGAGTCCAAGCCCAAGCCGAGCCAGTGGACAGGGCTGGAGCAGGGGGTGCTGGTCGTCCCCTGCACCCACCCTGTTCGGCTGCTGGTCGCTCGTGCCCTGTCGTGCTGACTCGGTGGGCTCATTCCTTGTGACGCAGCCTCAAAGACGACGATCTTGCTGGTCGGATGGGGCTGCAGCCGAAGGAACTGAACAAGGTCATCGCGACATTGTCCAATGATAGACTGGTGCAAATGCTCGTGTGCATTTTTCCCTCATGCGGTGAGGCTCACCAATTGTTCACAGATACAGGCAAAACGAGCTCCGGGAGGGAGCGCAGCGTGCTACGGCCAAGCAGTATTACTTCATCGACTATGAGCATTTCTGCAATGTCGTCAAGTGGAGGATAGCGAAGATGAGAAAGCAAATCGACACGAAAGCCCGGAATGTGAGCGGTCTTGGCGGTTTAAATGACTCTTTCTAATGCTCTAGCAGGAGCTCGATAACAAGGGCTACATCTGTCCGCAGTGCAAGGCTTCCTATACGCCACTCGACGTTGCCAACCTCATGGACGTGACACTCAATCTGCTCATTTGCGAGATATGCCATGCTGAGGTCATCGACAACGAAGACATTGACCTGGTGACTGGAACGAAGGACCGTATGCAACGTTTCAATCATCAAATGCGATTCATACGAGCCGGCCTACAGAAGAGCGAGGACATGGTATTACCTGCGTGCGCTAATGAGTACCCCGACTCCAATATACGAGATCTGAACTGCTCTCTAGCTTCGACGTGGCGGCCTGGGTGAAGAGCCACCAGCCTGATCAATCAAAGAAGGAGACGACGGAGGCTGGCTCAGAGCTCAAGTTTGCGGGTTCAGACGGAGTCCAACGCAAAGACGACGGGGTCGGCATCGTCATCTCAACAGATCAGGATGAAGCTACACGTCGCCGGGAGCGAGACGAGAAGGCGCAGGCGAAACGGCAACAGAACTTGTTGCCCGAGTGGATCAAAGCCAGTACCGTTTCTGGGCAGATGACGGCCGTTGGTATCAAAGAGCTTGCTCGTGCTGCCGCAGCGAAGGAGGCATCGGGGGCCTCGTCGGCGTCGAGTTCCAACGACGACATCTTGCGCGGCTTGGGCATCGTTGGGGATAACAGTTCGCGAGGAAAGGGCAACATCCGTCCAGCTATGATGACGAATGATGCGGTCGATGTGAAGCCTGTGATTGACCACGAAGCTCAATGTGTGTCCTTACAGATCTTGACGACTGCACACTGACCGATCTGTCGCAGACTGGGACAATTACTATGCGAATCTGGGGACATCTGCCCAGGCGACACCAGCAAGTCTGGGCGCACCTACTGGCTCTGATTTCGGTGTGGATGAAGAAGACGATATCAAACCCAATATCGAATACCTCGACTCTCTTAACGAGTACAGAAAACGATCTCGTTCGAATGAAGGAGTGGTGGACACACCGAATAAAACACCAAAGCTGGAGTCGAGCGCACCGGAATTCGCCATCGTTCCGACAGTCGAGCAGATTCCAATGGAACCAGAAGTACCAAGGGAGGATCCTATCGTGTATGGTAAGCGCTAGTGGCATGTCGCGAGTTTGGCACTCATAGTTCACAGTCAATGGCACCCCCATGACTTTTTCGCAAGTCACAGAGGCGGAGCACGATTTGATGACGCCAGACGAGTATACCGCATACTTCCAGGTCATGCAGGACATGGAGCAGTAGTCGGTAGGATTCGGTCAGCATGTCGTGGGATGTACTGGTATCCGACATACATGCGGACGAATGGCACTTGCAGCAACTCATGCCCACATCGGGCAATGCTCACATCAACACACTGGTGAACTCGACAAGAGGAAGGTCATTCACAAAGCTCTATCCGGCCAGTGGGCACAAGCGGATTACCGGGGTAATCAGGTTCAGTTGCAAGCACTTCGCATTGTTTACGCGCACAGAGTGGGGAGTACCGGTCTAGCAACAGTGTATTGGCAGTTCAGAGGAAAAGGTAGAACGTCTAGCTGCGCAAATTGAGTGTGTTCCAAAAGGATAGCACATGAAACACCCACCGAGAAATCGTCAGTCGGCCTGGATAATACGTTTCCGAGTCATGATGCGGTGAGAGCTAGGCTTACCCTGCAAGCCATCCCGGTGGTAATACTCCCTGGCGAGTTCGGACGTCTAGAACCTAGGTACAATGCTATCAGCAGCGCTTTCTACACTCTCCAGCCTACTCCATACTGGAACTCCTCACAAATCCGGGGAACAGGCTGGGATAGTATATGGGTCTGTCAGGGCCTAATTATGGTTGCATAGTGTAGCGGCTCATCACACAAGATTTTGATGCTCATTCGTCACGGGCTGTCAATTCTTGAGATCCCGGTTCGACCCCGGGTGCGACCTATTTACTCCCTTCTAGGGTCCCACCCCTGGTTCGGTTCTTACGATTCCGAATGGGATCTTTTTGTACTCGAATTTGTTATCGTATTATCATGTTCTGTGCCTTGTAATTCTACAAACAAAATACAAACTAGAGAAAACGCACAGAATAAATTTCTCATAGTTCATCCTGGTACAAGATTGGCCCCTGCTGCTTGTGGGACAATGCTGATAGCTTTGGTACCCTCTGACAGTAACAACCTCCACATAGCAACAGCTTTGAATTGAGTGTTACAAAAATTGGTCTGGGACGAAAATATAGATCCTATAGATCTCATCAATCTCTTTATCCTTTGCACTGGTTCTCTCTCTGCCAAGTGCGTGAAGTAGTATCCTCGAAATTGAGAGCAGCTCATAGCCAGTCACTGCGACATTTTGCTTGTCCATGTTTTGACCCGATCAACCTTTTTCATCTTCCGCCATACTCTGGCAGGCGGGACTTGAAGCGGACTTGCACAACTCGAAGCGCCGCTCAGAATCTGGTATTGCCATCTCCGAAGCAGCGACGAGACACACTTTTGACCACCTACTCTTTCCAATGCAGAATTCGACACCTGGTCGGTCGGTCGGTCACTATCGTGCGGTAGCAACTCTTGCGCAGCGACGTTCAGCACGTTCCTGCTTGCAAGATCTGTGAAAGGACATTCCGTGCCGGAAGCGACGAAACTGAGAGAACTCGGAGAGCTTATCCAGCGGTACGCTCTACGCTGTCTTTCTTGCGCCCATGCTGAATTCTCTGGCGGTGAAGGCGACAGATCGTTCCTCTGCCTGGCAAAGTCTCGACACATAATCTCACGCCATAAAGAGCCACACAGATTCACATACGCGCCAATCACAAGTCACACCCCCGTAAGTACAACAAGCTCATGTACCCACTCTGCCGTTCACCGACAGCCCCGCTCCTACAGCCCTCATCTAATTTGCGTTCGAATGGCTACTACCTCACCTAAACCTGCGCCTGCATCCTCTACGGATCAACCATCCGCTGTATATCCCTATCCTTTCCCGCCACCGGGGGCATATCCACCGCCATTCTTCGCTTATCCTCCTATCGACCTTCCGAACACTCCCTCTTCCGACGCAGCGAATGCGTCGGCCAGCGCCAGTGGCGCTACTACAACACTCAACCCCGCCAACGTCACTGCCTCTGCGTCGTATATGATTCCGTATCCTGCTCCTCCTGGTTTGTTCTACCCGTTTCCCCCGGGGTTCTCAGCAGCATCAGCGGCAACGACCCCCGTCGCCCCGCCTCCAACCACAGCACGTTCGCCTGGACGCGCAAAGCGAAGTCAGGTCAAAATGGCGGTAAGAGTCTTCCGCTTCTTTCGTCCCAGATCTCTCATGGATCCTTCTGTAGTGCACCAACTGCGCTGCTGCGTGCAAGAGATGCGACGACGAGCGGCCCTGCACCCGTTGTCAGAAGTACAATCTGCAGGACTCCTGTATCGATGGGCAACGGAAATCGCGCATGCGGGGAGTCAAGCGAGGACCGTACAAGCGACGTCTGAAGGACTGTGAAATCACGGCCGATGCGTCTTCGACTGTTAACAGCAACAACAACGCATATACTCCACCCCCTGTGGATGCGACGCCCCCACCTACCTCTAGCGAATGGACACCGTCGACCACAGTGACACCTGCGGCGACTGTGACGATTCCACCCGGTGCTGTGCTTGGGCCGTTCCCCCCGGCACCGGAAGGTTACGTAGCCCATCCTGGATTCTACCCGCCGATGGGCATCCTCCTCGCGCCGCCTCCTGGTGGGGAAGAGGGCGCGCCTCCGGTTCCGGTGCCGTACTTCTATTCGTATCCGCCATTTGGGCTGTATCCTCCGGGTATGACTATTGCCGCTACTCAGGCGGTGCCGGCCGCAATGCCTGCCGAGAAGGAGACAGCGAAAGAAGAGAAAGGCGCAGGGAAGCCCAAAAGAAAGAAGCGAAAAGGCAACACGGGGAAAGCGACGTCGGAGCATGTAGCTGAGTCAGAGACTGAGGTGGATCGTTCTATTTTCGCTGCTGAGGACGAAGATCGAGATGCCGACGGCGATTTGGACCAATAATGATAGTGAGTACTCGAACCTCTTTGTATGCGGGAGCTCATTTTCGTCAAGACGTTAATTGCCGCACCTGCCATGGCATCGCATGTGACCTCAGGTCCGCTGTACCAACATCCACCACCAGCCCAGCAGTGATTTGACCTTGGACATAGCCATTAAGACTTTGTTGTGGTGTCAAACGGCTGCTGCGCTCGTCATTCATTGCTCCAGGTTTGGATTAATTTTAATTTCTAGCAGCGGACGCACATACAAACACACGCGCTGCATGGCTCAGTTTTCCTCTGTAATTTGTGTAATTTGCTCTTTTGGAACGCTTTCTCGAACTTGCTACAACAACAATTGTAGTATGTATGTCTGTGTACAACGTTTGTGTCAACTCTGCATTGTCATTACCCCCATCCCGCACTTGCCCCTTCTGCTGTTGAAATCGACTGAGTATTCAGCCTGCTTCCAACCGATCTTTTGGTAGATTTTCAGCTGTCCCAGATCAGACCGATGGATGAACACGAAATGCTCGATAGAACGCACATTACTGGTCTCAGTCCCAAATTCTAAGCATTTGAGCACCCCGGTTGATTTTGCGATCACGTCCTGCATCAGAGCCTTCGCGAGACCTTTACGCCGGTGAGCTGGATCGATGCCGAGGGTCTGCAGGTGCCAGGCGTTGTGCTTGGTTCCATCACCGAGGTTGTTCTTGACGAGCTCCCTGAACTTGGGAACGAACTAGAGACTGGACAGTGGGCATACCACTTCTCGTCAAGAGCACGCCTACCTCGAGCTGCCACCACTCTCGCTGCTCTTCGCTCAATCTTTCCATGAACGGCGACAATGCATACTTGCGCTGGGCTTCGCTGTGCGGGCGTATGAGCTGCGAACTGTCAGAAGAAACAGAGAAGCGACAGACGAGTCGTATATGGAATGGCCTGGGCCAAACCACACCGCACACCCAACGATTTCCCTCTCCGTCTCGTCGGTTTCGGCAATGTAAACCTCTCCGCCACCAACGAGAGCCGCAATGACACTGGCTTCGTAGAAGGGACCGACGTAGCTCGTGTCTGGGTCGTCTGGGTCGTGGCCCGTCGCGACGGCGACGAAGGCAGCTGGGTGATAATACATTCCAAGTCGATAAATAAGAGGAAAAAAGCCTCAATCTCACCACCGGAGAACGCTCTGGCCAACACTTGTCGGATGGCCGGAAGCTCGGGCACACTCGCCGGGTTGAACGCGTCACCGACGAATGGATTGATCAGTTTACGGATTTTGTAAGGTAGCTGCGATCCATCCTCGACAAACATCACGTGGCGTTATGGTCACACGTCCGCTTTCGTCAGACATAATTGATCGCAAGAAAATCAAGCTGTATTAAGACAACGGAGCTATTCTAGACTAATCCCTGCGAGGAGAATGTGCATATACAATCAAAAATTGTGTAGCAAAAAAATTAGAGCACTGCGGTCATCTTGGGTAGAGCTGTGTCGCACGCAATGTATTAGTGGATTCCTGCTTTGTCAAGTTCGGATCAATTTTGAGCCTAGCGGCATGCGGACGATGGATATGGGAAGCCAAGTGTTGTTTTTGACACTGGCTTGGCAAATCTGATCGGATTTTCTTGGGACTGAAATTGGGACAAGTAGTGATATATTTTGTCCTTTTCCTCGCGGGGTTTGACTTAATTATGACCCAAAACTATTCTACCGCCTACTCTTTTGGATGTTCCCACGGCTTTCTTAATTGGGGCAAAGTCACACTGCACCACGTGATGTTTGTCGAGGATGGATCGCGGCTACCTTAAGAGGAAGGCATATCTCAGCGTGGAATGGACAGAAAACACTGCCGTATACTATGCAGCACCAAGCACTTAGGCCAAGGCGAGATCAGTTCTCGATCTGGTTGGTTGTTCGGCTCCGTAGGCTCTTCTCATGAACCAGGGGGATACCCGTCATATTAGGTTGATGTACACTAGACAGATAAAACAAAGGTTCCGGCCAATCTAATGCTTAGCCTTCAAGTGAGGTCGTGCGACAGACCGTGCAGAGGAGCAGGCGGACGTAAGAGAAACATGAGGCAACCGGATCACGTGGCGGCATGTGACAGATCCGCCACTCGAACCCACAATGAGCAACACCATGTAGGCCTACACCTCGTGCAATGTCCCGACTTTTTTGACCAGAACCAGCGAAGACAATGCTGATCGAGGGTCAACCGTGAAGATCCCAGCGATAATGAACAAAGCAAGCTCCGAACTGATCCACAATTGCGCATCTATAGAGGACCAAAGCGCAACACGAGAACAATAGCGGTGGGCCTTGGAACAGATGCATACTCGATATTGTTGATAAGCGAGCGCTTTGGCAGAGCTTTGAACTCTATAAAAGCAGATGTTTAGTCTTTGCCACCACCAGCCATATCCATTCCCCGGTCACTCTTATGGGACGCCAACGATCCACAGGAAAACGCGCGGCGGTCAAACACCGCCAAATCGAAGTTCATGCCCGAGAAGATGGTTCTCCGCATTCTCACGTGGTGCCTTCCGGCAAACCCAAACTTGGAGGCACTCTGGGAGTCAACCGTTTCCGATGTCCCAGTGCATCAGAACCCTCCCTCCCTCCCTCGGTGGCTGAATCTAACACTGTTGACGCTCCTCTTGCCTTTGTCTCTGCCTCCGCACCGGCGGCCTCCACCCGCGCCACCAGGTCACATAGTAAAGCGCTGCGGTCAAATGCTTCAGCCGGTCCCTCGCGCACAACGCTACCAGCGCTTAGCCGCACGTACCCCGTGGGTCGGCAGACGAAAGGCCAAACACATCTCTATGTGGGCAACGTGCGTATAGACACCTAATTTAGCCTTCAACCCTTACTTACATGGTCGCAGCTGGATCCGCAAATCCAGCTCAGTCAGGTCAAGGCGCACTTCTCGAACTGCGGCGGCGTGATCTGTGACGCGCGCTTCTCCTTGGCGGGCTCGGAAGACATGTACGCCCAGCTGATGTTCGATACTCCAGCGGCGGTGCACGCGGCGCTCAAGATGTACGGCTCCCAGATCGACGGCTTCCCCCTCCCGATCGTCGTGAGTCTCGCATCGCATCGTCTCATCTGAACGCACAGTGTACTGACAGTGGCCGGCGCAGGTGACGCCGACTGTCAACGAGCTCCACGAGGCCGTCCGCCGCCCCGGCGCCCATGGTTTAGTGGCTGAAAGCGATGTGGACAGTTTGTGCCGATTGCAAAGAGCGAGACTGGCCCGCCCTGGTCTTCCTGTTTCTATGACGCCTGGCACAGTGCATCGACTGACTGGTGTGTTGTTCTTGTTGTCCAGGTTCATCGTGGACTGAACGCGCGGAATCACAGCTTCGGGCATCCAGCAGGTCCCTTTGCATCTCGCCACCACGCTTTGCTGCGAGGATTTCAAGCCTTCCGTCCGGCGGCGAGTGGTCAAGACTGCGAAGCGGCTCTGGAATGGGCAAACCCTCTTGACACAGACTTGAATTTCTAGCGTATCCGTGATTCTGACATTATGACTCCGAATGTATGCAAATATGATCCTATGCTTCCCAAATGATGCACCTGTCTTACCGACACTATTAAGCGATTGTATTAAAGTCGCATAACGCGACAGCGCGAGCTTTAATCTAAATACCATGATTGTTCAACGATGACGAAGGCTCGATGGCCAGCTCCGCAGGGATGATCAATGACGCTTACTCTGCTATAACGATCGCTATATTGCAACTATGAAGGGGAAACGCTGAGATCAGTGACTCTGAGATTCTGCATGCCAAACACCAAGATGCTTGTCGACAACCCCATTTGAAGTCTGGAATATCATCGCACCGGTACCCAGCCAATCGTAGTTTCCGAATGAAGCTTTGGGACCCTTTGTAACTCAGGTCTTGCGCAAGATATAACTGCATGTCACGCCCACTGAAATGCACCGTTCCGGTGTTTATCTGTAAAGGACAGACTGGACATATCTGTCAAAATACAATCAGACGACTGCTAAACATACCGAAACTCCACGCCAACAGGGCCATCTGTTTTCTTGTATGTTCACAGCTTTCGACTGAGAAATACGGATTTCCCAGTCAGACGCAACAATTTGAATCCGCTATGATATTCGCTACTCAGTCGGTTAACACAGTATAAAGCATCTAGAATTGAATGTGTGCCTGGACGCGCCAATTCCGATCTAATTGATGGCCATTCAGCAGTCTGCAACCCAACTTAGGACGGATTTTGGAAATCGCGACTCAGAGTCGACTGGGATTAGGCCGTCTCATAGGACTCGAAGCTGCATAATTTAACATGAAGGGGTCAATAAATTCAATAGAGTGCTGATCTAGCAAAATGAGTAGAAGGCTCTGGCCAATCGCCAGGCTTTTTCAGTTTTGGAACACACTTCTCACGTGATCTGTTGTTAGTCATGATCACGGCCTTGACTATCGCCGTCACCGTCAGCGACAACTCGGAGCCTCGGCCTCCACTGCAACATCATGATGCCTGTCTAGAAATCTGGAAACTCCCGCTCGAGTTCTCTAATCGGTGCTTCTTTCTTGTGGCAGTTACTGATAAAACAAGCGCCCATCGCTAGTATCTGACTCACTGCTTGTGATCCTCGCCAACTCAGGCATTGAGTGGCGGCCTGATGTCGCCGTTGTCTAGATGCTGCAGAAACACGCTTATTAAAGTGCGATTCATGCAACGCCTCTCATCATCTATCCTGTTCCTCTATTCGTTATTCGAACTCTCCAAATTCTACTAATCGCCTATTTTGAACATGACCAATGCTTTCTTTGCTCCTCTGACACTCCTTCTCCTCTTTGCCGTGTCTGTCCGCGCTAGTGAGTTCTCTGCTTCTTTCCAATGCGTTTTAGTCATCCTTGATTGCTAGACTGCGACATCTCGGACTATCCCCCAGCAGTCGCAGCGCAAGGCAATTTTCCCGGCGTCTGGACGCCTGTCTCTGCCATCCTCGAGAATGACGCAGAGGGCAGAGCTCTTTTCGATTCGTTCAAGGACAGAATCCCCAATATTGCGCCCAAGGGAACAAACGGTGTTCCTGATCCACATCTGAAATACGACAATTCGGACCCAGACTGTTGGTGGACGTTCTCGACGTGTGTGACACCGAAGACGCCGGGGGTCGATGCGGATGTCGCGAGCGTACCCGAGGTGAGCACTGCTTCTGCGATCCGCGTTTCGGTGGGTTCTCAAACACCTTGTGCTATCTAGCCCTCGACGCTCGGGTACGGCTTCGATGACGGCCCGGCATGCCAGCACGATGTGTTCTACGACTTTATGAAGGAGCACAACCAGAAGGCGACGTTTTTCTACATCGGGTCAAATGTCCTTAGTCAGCCTCTGCAGGCCCAGCGGGCTATCATCGACGGACACGAAGTCTGTGTTCATTCGTGGTCGCACATGCCGATGACGTCATTCGACAACGAGCAAGCGTTTGGAGAGATGTGGTACACGATGCAGGCCATCAAGCTCGTCACGGGATACACACCCAAGTGTTGGAGGGTGCGCGGTTTCCGTCTGGTCTCCCTTGTGTTCGGCTGCTGAGTCGGATTCATGTCATCATAGCCTCCTCAGGGGGATGTCGACGATCGGATTCGGTTCATCGCCCAAGCATTGAATCTAACCACTGTCCTGTGGGACTTTGATGCCAACGACTGGCAATTTGGCGCAGGGACGATGAGTGCCGCGCAGATACTCGGCAACTACGCAGATTTCATTGGCAATGCAACCAGCGGGGCGTTCGACGACGTGCGTTGCGCTTACTTATTTATTACGGGGTGTTGTCGAGGTTACCGACTGATCCGTTTCCAGATCGGCGCGATTCTTCTCACCCATGAGCTCGACAACTTCACCATGCAAACTGCCATCGACCAGTATCCTCGGTTGTCCTCCGCTTTCAAGGTGATCCTTCATCCGCGTGGTCTGATCTCGCAGAACTTGCTCAGATCTTCCCCTTCGACAGCACATTGTTCCCATCGCGACGGCTCTGAACATCACGCAACCCTACGTCGAGACCAACTTTACCATGCAATCGTTTGCTGAACGTAAGTCGTCTGTGGTCATGTATCTCGCCGCGGTGCGCTGAACTGCGGAAACACAAGTGATCGGGGTGGCCTCGCCTCCCTCGCCTCCTTCCTCATCTACGCAGACAGCAGCTCCCTCCGCGAGCGGGCTGATTGTTTCCAAGACCCTGTCGTCCTCATTCTCGGCGGATAGCACCCCGACTATTTCTGCTGTCAATCATGCTGCGAGCGCATCAGCTACAAGCGGCTCGAGCGGCTCTACGACGGAACTGTTGAATGGTCGAGTGTTCGGTTTGGTATTTTCGGTGGTGGGAGGCAGTGTTCTGCTGGTACTATGATTATCGACGATGTACTTGGCATCTGCTGTCATCATGGTGACTAGTTTCGTTCATATTTAACCGAACACTCAGGAAGAAATCCCGCTTGACTGATGTTCAGGAAGGCTGGAATCCGCCCACGCTTGGACACGCTTGGATAAGGGCTCGAATCAAATCATTCTCTTCGAAAGAGATTTTTCCCACCCGAGAACTAAAGGAAAGAGTCCGAAATGGGCTATAGCGTTTACGATACACCGATAATGTCATCACAGTCGATCCACGATCGGGTATCGCCGAATGATCTCCGTGCGTCTTCTTGCTCTTCTTACTCTTTCGCAACCTGATTGATCTTCACGATCATTGTCTCTTATTTTGCATCGCACCTCGAGGAAAATTGTTGGTCAATGCATTGGAGACAGCAGCTTCAAGCAGAATACGTGTGGGTGCGATATTCGTATGAATATTAGCACCGCTGCTGCACATCAGTTGGACTGATCACCGGTCACCAGGACCTCTCAACCTATCGAGGACTAGGTCATCTGCCCTCGGGTGTCTCGGGTGGGGTGTCAATGAAGCTACAATCTTGTCAAGATGTCAAATCCCCTGCTTCTTGTCCAGTTTTGTTGTGGTTTCCTACCTTTTTGGCCGTTTCCGCCTGAAACGAACCAAATCACAGGACGTAGGACGGGAAAAAAGCCGTGTTTGGTCTCGAACTACTGTCCGAAATTTCTCGAAACAGGTCACCAGTTCCCTAGACCGTTCAAATCTGGATGTGGAGTTGTCACCCATCGCCAGCGGCCAAGCCACAGTCGACATGGATGCATGTGTCGCAGATGATGGTGCGACACTCTCGGTGTCTGTTCTCGATTCGGGGCCCGCCAGAGACTTCAGAAGTATACCCATCCCTCTCTTGAGCGACAATCAAGCCCTGCTGAGCGGGCCGGCAGTACAGCACATGAAGGGGGAGCAGGCGTATACCCTTCGCGGGTGCGGTATTTGGTATCACCAGGTTCGTTCTCGGGTTTGCCACCGGAGAAAAGCAGGGTTTTCATTGTCCTTAAAAGCTAGCCAGGTCTCTCGTTGAAGGACCAAAGATCACTCGGACCACCACCCAGTAGTGAAAACGATGCTCGCTTCCTTCGTTTCCCTCGCGATCCTCGCCCTCGCTCTTCCGACCCACGCAATTGTCACATGTAACGTGTTGAACTACGGCGGGGTTGCGGACAATAAGACAGATATCGGCCCCGCCTTGAGTGCGGCATGGACAAAGTGTGTCATCCCGAACGTCAAGACCACCGTCGCCACCGACGTTCAGCTGCTCGTCCCGGCCGGGAGTTTCCTGCTGGCGTCGAATGTCCTGTTCAACCACGCTGCGAACTGGAACCTGCATCTCGCGGGCAATTTGTATTTGCCCTTCGACCCCAACCTCGGTGGAACCATGCTCCAGTGGCAGGTGTGTGTGAAACAAGCACTGTAAACATCATGGTCGATCGTGATATATGACTATCTTCCTCTAGAACTGCAACAATATTCTCGTCAACGGGCCGGGATCGATCTTCGGCAATGGATTGCGGTACCGCCCGAACAACGACGTGCGTTCGGTCCTTCTCACACAGTGGGCTTGGGCTCATGCGGTCATCAGTTGACCATTCACCCCGGGCGTCCTCGGCTCCTGCGGTTCCAGGCCTGCAACAAGTACGTGTCTAGCTCTGCTGCATATGTCAGCGGCGGCTGATGCACGTTCAAGTGTCGAGCTTACTCAGATCACGCTGTTTGACTCTCCCAAGTTCCATGTGGCCATGTTCGGCGACAAGTGTGTAGGCGAGGGTCTCATGCATGACTTGACTGACGCCGTTCTTCAGCAATCTCATCCACAACATGGCTATTCGAGCGACTTTTGTCGGTCAGTGCTTTTATTCCGACCGTCCAGCGAACCGGTTTAAATCATCAGCTCAGGTGAAACGGATGGGTATGATATCAGCGGAAACAACAAGTATGAGGATCCGATCGTGATTACGACTCGGTCTCTGACGAGGTCCAAGCTACATTCACGACGTCAGCGTCCAGAACGGCGATGAGGTGTGCAAACATGATCTTCTCTCAGGGGAAAAAGCGCTCATCAATCCAGTGTGTCACTGTCAAAACGCCAACCAACGTCCGTCCCGCGCGATATTGTTCTGTTGAATTCGTTCGCTGATGTCGTCCCATCAGGGCTTCCGCGCGGAGAACATCGAATGCATTGGCACCGCTGGCTGCAACATCGGCTCGTTCGGAGGTGCAGACACTACCGTCAATGTTCAAAACGTCGTATACACGAACGTGACGGTATCCAACTCGGACGCCGGCATCATGATCAAATCTTATCCGGACAACATTGGCATCGTCAAGAATATCACCTACAACCACTTCACCTTCGTGAGTGCCGTAATCGATGGCACGATGTCTGATTCTGAAAGAATGCGTTTACAGAACAAGGCCGCATACCCTTTGTGTAGGTGCAGGACGTAGATGGGACTCTGCGGCGCTAACAAGTCTATTTTAGACATCAGCGCCTTCTGGGCCGGCAACAACGTTGACACGGGCAAGCTCCAGATTTCAGACGTCACCTTCAACGGAGTCACAGTGCGTTCAACGATCAGTTTTCCTCCAACGTCTCTAACTCTCTTTTAGGGAACCGGAACGCCCACTCGCCCTGCAGTCTTGCTCAACTGCAACAAGGCTACACCTTGCAAGAACATTGTGGTGAGCCATTATCGCATCCTCCCTCGTGAAAAACTTTAAAAGAATTCCGCAGTTCAAGGGAATATCGCTGTCGGGAACCAAAGCCAACAGCTACACAAACGCTTGTGGGTCGGGTATTTCTGGATTGCCGGGTTGTTAGATGTAAATAATTGCGGCTCACTGGGCCTACTCATATTGCGGTAAGATCACTGTTTCGCCTTTTCTGGAAATACAATCAATTCTCTGTTGTCCATTATTTCCTGCCCAAACTCAAGAAAATGAATCTAAACCAAAGCAAATGCACATTGATGGCATCTACATTCAGTTATTCTTTTTGCTATAAGAAATTGTACACTTTCATTGGCCAAACATAGGGAGGAAATGTACAATAAATATGCATAACATTGAACAGGAAGGAATCAGATTTCCAGATGTTATTGAGCATCTTGAAGAGGGCTCAGGCAGTGGAAATCTTGATTTTTCAAGCGTTCTATCTTGTCAGACACTTTGGCTTGGCCCATGCATTCTTAATAGGGGACATATTGGCAGAAATGGGTGGCCACTTGAACAACATATGTGTGTGACAATCAACAAAAGAATACAGTTGAAAAGAGAAGTCAATTCCAAGACTGGAGAATACAACACAATAGCCAAGGTAGAGTATATGCAAAGTGTGTGTGTGTGTGTGACTTGGCCTGATAGTAAAAGTCACACACTGATGGCAGTGAGTCACACATAAGTGATCCTATGTATGATCTGCCAGTGGTTACTCCTGTCTCTGTGGTCCAAATCTCTGATGTGCCTAAGTGTCTAGACGGCAATCTGTCACAACTGTGACAACCCACGTTGAGAGGCTGAAACAACAATTTGGTGTATCCTTCAACATCTACAGTGTACATTATTGATCATTGTGGTTAAAATAATGTTGTCTGCCGGGTTACATGAACAAATTACTGTATACAATGACATTACCCCTTCCCCAGCTTCTTTGAGGTCGATTCCCTAATCTTGTTGTTCCCCCCCCTGTTATAGTTCGGCCACTTTTTCATCTTATCATCAACGATCTTATCTTATCTTGGCATGACTTATCTTATCACGGATCACAGCATCAGATGGTCCAGGCTAGGGGTTCCAGGGATTAGCTCCATCAATTCGAGGCTGCGCAACACATGCTCTGGAAGGTTCTACTACAACCCATGACCAGTGCTCCATGCGGTACATAGCCTTACAACTCACGAGTTGTAGATATGACTCAGACTGGATTTGGGTATAAATACTGTAGCTACTTGGTTGTATTCTCCAGTCTTCAAATTCACTTCTCTTTTTGACTATTGTTTTTGGTTGATTGTCACATAATTCGAAGACTCCCCTCATACCCTCCTACCTCATACCTCTTACCCCTGCATCCCTCACTGCTATGCCCGCTATATCCTCTTCACCCTTATCATCTCACTTACCCTTCTACCAAATCATCTAGTTGTTCTCTGCGATCACAGTGAAGGGTTCATCTCGAGCAAATAGCACCAGGCCACAGGTAACGTTGAGCCTGACCCAAGCCTTACGGTAGCTACAAGGAGTGCTGCGGAGACCTTCGGGAAAACGCTGATAGGCTGGCTACCAGATGCGCTCTGCACCAGCTCTGTAAGGGCGTATTTTTGTGCTTTTACAGAGTTTACCCTCAAACCACTCAGTGTATTGTGTCGCGGTTGACAGTGTTGTGCTCAGTAGGACTTAAGGGTCTACTGCCCAGTCGATGACTGTGGATAGTGTCGACAATAGCAAGGCAGTCAGACCACTACTGTGGAATTGGCCTTATGAGTCTACACTAGGCTCAGGGCTATTAGTGACGAACGCTTGGACCACGACAATCCCCCAAAAAGGGATCTTTGTTGCGGCGACTTCTCAAAAGGGTCATTCTCTGCAGATGGGAACTTGGGCTGAAGGGCTTAGCCATACGCGACGTTCTCAACATTACAACTATTTCTGGACAGGGCTTGGCGTTACGAGATTGAACCAATCTTGTCGCGGCAACTCCCGGTTTTGGGTTGGACGTTTCCTCAGATCATACCACAGTGACAACTTGTCACATGTCAGGATCCACTCAATCACGGGATATTGTGGACGTGTCGTGGTGACACTTCCAAGTGTCACGGCGAGTCGCGCCCATACCCAAACACACTAAAATTGACACGGGCTAGATCCGTGAACCAAACCATGTGAGGAGCGTCTGGCGTGCCTAGGACCATACAGCTTCTTGGGGCACCCATGTTGGACTTACTTGCCAAGACATACCAGTTGGCCAATAAGGCTCCAACCGTTTTGTTTTTGTTTACAACTTCTCACAAATGAAACAGAAACGGTAGATAAACATTTATAAACTGTTTGAATCAGTTAAAACAGTTATTGAACAACACATTTTTCTGCGGTATGCAAGCTGTCTACAGATCGAAATATCCTGCTTTGATCCAAAGCTTGGTCAACATGGCCTCCTTAATCGTCGCGGCCTTGAGCGAGCTGCGCGTATCGCAGCATACATTACGGGCCTGGGAAAACAGTCTCTCGACCGAGACACTGGTCCCTGGGATAGCCAGGAAGTCACGCGCCATGCGCGAGGCAACTGGGAAATTTGAGCCGTGATCCTGTGGGTGGCCGGTGAGATATTTGTACTGTTGATCACAGACGCAAAATAAGACGCACCTTCCACCATGTCAAGGGAGACTGCTCCTCCCCTGCTCCGTAGTCTTCGACCGCATGCCAAAAGTCCTCAAGCTTGTTCTTGCTCCTCTGGGAAGAACGTGCATTGGATGATGCCGCCACTTTGATTCGTGCCTGCGACGCCGCGGCTGCACAAGCTACAATCTTACTTGTGATGCTGGTCGGGTTGATGGCAGGTGGTAGCACAGCGGTTTGAGCTGAGTGAGCCTTTTCATTATCGTATTCGCGTTTGTAGCTCTCGAAAGCGTGAGTGAATAGA